CCTCTTAAACAACTAGATGTCAACAATGCCTTTTTAAATGGTACTCTTACCGAAGAAGTGTATATGACACAACCTACGGGTTTTGAATCCTCTGATAAGACTCTAGTTTGCAAACTTCACAAAGCCATTTATGGCCTCAAACAAGCACCTCGTGCTTGGTTCGAGAAGTTAAAATCCACTCTGCTCCAGTTTCACTTTCAGGCCAGCAAATGTGATCCATCCTTATTTGTTTACTCAGTTGACAATAATGTCATCTACGTTCTGGTGTATGTAGATGACATTATTATCACTGGCAACAACTCCACCACCCTCCAGACCCTTGTATCTCGTCTTCACTCTGCATTCTCCCTCAAAGATCTAGGTGATCTTGATTACTTTCTTGGCATTGAAGTTAAAAATTAGTCAGATGGTTCTCTCATCCTAACTCAAAGTAAGTACATACGTGATCTCTTAAATCGCACTGACATGGAAGCATCCAAGCCCATCTCTTCCCCAATGGTTAGGAATCCAATTCACCCCCCCTCTTGGATTGTGCCATTCTTTCTAACAACTTTGAGTTTACATGAGAATTTTCTGAATTTGACTTCATCCATTCTCTCCCAAATTCACCAAGAGTTCTAAGCCTTAGCATTAGGGAATCTCTTTCTTCTAAAGCTTGGCCGTGAGCTTTCTTTTGCCTCTCTTGCTTGGATGCTTCCAATCCTAGCTTAGGGATTCAATCACTCTTATTCTCCAAATCAAGATGTCTTCTTGGAATTCAGCTTCAAGGAGTAAGATCCGTGAGTTTGGTGAAGGCTAAGGAAGAAAGATCATCCACTTCACTTACCTTCTCCATCAGGGCCTGCCAAGAACCTAGAGAGGCATGGATTCTATCTTTGTGGTGGTAGACAGATTTAGTAAGATGGCTCATTTTATTCCCTGCCACAAGATAGATGATGCTAGAAACATAGCAAGACTCTTCTTTAAAGAAGTGGTTAGACTTCATGGTCTACCCAAAACCATTGTGTCAAATTGATACTAAGAACTAAACTACTTTTCTGAACTACTTGTCATCGCCAGACTAATGAGAAGATTGAAATAGTTAATAGATCCCTATCTACCATGTTGAGGGCAGTCCTTAAAAGAAATCACAAGTCTTGGGATGAGTACTTGCCTCATATAGAATTTGCATGCAACCAGTTAGTTCATAAAACTACCAAGATCTCACCTTTTGACGTTGTGTATGGTTTCAATCCTCTCACACCTTTGGATCTAGTACCTCTACCCGATTCTCATCATTATTTTCAAAAAGAAGGAGTATCTAGAGCTGATTTTGTTAAAAAATTACATGAGAGGGTTAAGGACCATATTCAACAACAAAATGAGAGATATGCCTTAGAAAGAGGCAAAGGTAAGAAAGCCCTCATTTTTTAGGAGGGTGATTGGGTTTGGCTTTATATGAGAAAGAAAAGATTTACCTCTCAAAAGAAGTCTAAACTCAATCCTAGAAGAGATGGTCCTTTCCAAGTCCTCCAAAGGATTAATGATAATTCATATAGGCTAGACCTCCCAGATGATTATGAAGTAAGTACTACTTTTAATGTTAATGAACTTATTCCTTTTGCAGGATTTGAGGACAAATCCACTTCCAGAGGGAGGGATGATGGATCATGGGCCAATGATCCAATTACTCGAGCTATAGCTAGGAGCATACAAGAAGGAATGGCTAGCTTGGAGGTTAGTGGGCTTTCTAAGCCCAAGCTACTCTTCATGTGGGCCATCACATCTTTGAGATGGTCTAGCTATTTTTTATATAGTAGTTCTTTATATAGGTTCATTTTGCCTTTGTATTTGTGGGGCACTCTCTTTCTTTTATTTTAGGATTTTCCTTTGATTATTTAGGGTATGTTACTTGGAGACTTTTTCTCCATTTGACCTTGTATTAAGGGTCACTCATTTTCATATTTTTAGTAGTAGAAGTGAGGTGACAAATAGCAAGGTGTGTAGGTGCAACTAGTAATTGGGCTAGAAGTGGGCGCAGACTAAATTTTACATATTTGACTTGTGTTTCCTCCATTTTTTCCAATGAATTGATTTAGCTAGGTCTCACCATCATTTGGTGAACCTAACTAAACCAATTCCAAGATTTTGGATTGGATTAAATGTTGGAAAATAAGTCTTGGCTGCCTAGCACTTCTCCTTGGCCGAATTGCATAGCTTCTCCTACACACTTGGGAAGCTTGTGCTACATGCTTCTAACTTAGCTTGCTTCCCAAGCTTCTAAGTTATAATCTTGCTCCGCAAGCCTCGTAAACTAACTAGGCCGGTTAAGCTTGACTAACCATGGTTCTCTTGAACCATAGTTAGTCTAGCTTGCACCACAAGTTTCCTTACTCTATATAAGTCTCTTCCTTGACTTTGTAATCACTTTTGACATTTATGAGATTAGAATTCAGAAAATTCTCTCTCTCAAGAGTCCAAATCCGTAGAGAACACTATCTTTTTAAGAACCTGCACAAAGGAATCCTTCCTTTGTGTCTTGGTTCATCAATTCTTCTTCTTCTTCTTCAAGAAGATTGCCACACCATTGATGTTGTTTCTTCAAACTCCAAGAGTTTGAACCTTGCTTCCGTGAAGAACTTGAACCTCAAGGGAAGATTGGACTATGAAGATGGAGCTAGGAGGAGAACTTCAATCACTTCTCCAAGTTTTTTTTCCATCACCTATGGATCAGCCTTCACCCTTCTTAGTCTTACCTCTTCCAAAGGGATCCTTGGGGGAATAGATTTCCATCAACATGCCAAAAACATTCACCTAATTTGAATTTCAAAATATAAGTTGCATTTGAATTTGTTGGACTATTTCTTCAAGAATGTGGCTAAGAACTTCATCAATACAAAAGGCAAAGTAACTTCTCAAAATTCAAACAAAAGATTGAAAAGAGAGATTTAATATATATATATATATATATAGATATATATATATATATTAAAAAAAGCCAAGAAGAATAAGAAACAAATGACAATGAAACAGGGCCAAGTATCAAAAATAGTGATCACATTAATCATGGTTAATCATGGTTAGTCATGGTTAATTTTAAATATATTTAAATTTGGTTATTTTATTTATTTTAAAATAAAATTGTTCAAGTTCATTATTTAAATTTTATAATTAATTTAATAAAATTTTTATAATCTTTGTATGAACACACTTTTTTTTTATTTCTATATAATCACACATAATTAATGGTATTTATTTATAAATAATAAATAATTTAATTATGTTATATTTATTAAAAGGAAAACAATAAAGACATAAAGTAAAAAAGTTGACAAATATTTAAATTTTATAATATTACAATGTAATTAATATGCACTTCATCAATGAATAATTATTAAAATGATCATATAAATAATGTAAAATTATTTATAAAAATATATGTCATTAAATGAATTCATTTCATAGATGAGTTATTTTAAATTCTAAGATAAAATACATATAGAGACACGAAATATCTCGACTCCACTAGTTTAAATAAAAGAAATATTTCTAATATCCACTTTTATAAAGATAATTATATTTTATTTTTTTCACTAATTTATATTTAAAGATAAAATAAAAGATATATCTATACTAATATATAAAGGGATATGCTTTTCAGTAATCACCTTGATCTCCACTTTTTTTTACCATTATACCATTTTATTTTAAAAAATTAGAAACAATATTTTTTAATCAAATTTAAGAACTTGAAATTAATGGATTAATCATAATACCTATTAGATCAAAATATTTTTATTATTTAATTTTTATTTTTATTTTTATTTTATTTTTAATAGAGGCAAGAAGTGTCTCGACCAACTAGTACATATAAAAAAAAATAACTGTCTTTTTTTTTCTTTTCTAGATAATAACTACTTTTTTTTATTTATAAAAATACTAATTTATTTTAGTTTGCAATGATGAATTGCCTTTTTTTTCTGGTATTTAAAAAAGGAAATAGCAAGATGAAGAGCAAATGAAAGAAGAAATCTTTAAGAGCATCTACATTGGGAGTTGCTTATAAGTAACTTCCAACCACTTTAAATGGGTCTCACTGTGCCACGTCACCCATAAGCAACTCATACTATATTTTTACAATTTTTGCTCCAATGGAAATTGCTTATAAGCACCCTTACTTTTTTATAACTCATACTACACTTTTTGACACCTCACACTACACTTTTCAACGTCTCGTTTTTTGTTTTCCGGAGGTTAGTTTTTATTCATTCTCTCTTCTCGCATCTCACTTTCTCTCCTCTCACAAAAAAAATGTCTCACTTTCTCTTCCCCTCTCTCTCACCCTCACCCTCAACCATCACCAGCGCCCTCACCATCAACCTCCGCCCGAAGGTGCACGCGGCTGGCCGGAGGTCGCTCGGCCCGGACGTCCCCTTCGCCCCCTACGGCGAGCATAGTGTCATCAAGGCCTTCGCGGTTCTCTTCTTTGCGTACCTGGGCTTCAACGCGTTCTCAACCATGGAAGAGGAAACGAAGAACCCGACCAGGGACATTCCCATGGGCCTGGTGCGCGTTCCAGGACGAACCGTTCGGCAAATGGGTTTGCGTGCCAAGTCGGTCGGCTTGGCAGGGCCTGCACGCGTGCCAGGTCAAACCACTAGGTAGGATGGAATGGAGGTTCGCACTGGTCAACCTGCTCAGGACCATGGTTTTAAATTGCGGTTGCGGTCGCGGTTGCAGTTACTACGGTTGCGGGTATTGCGGGTATTGCGATGCAGATTGCGGCTGTTGCGGTGTGAAATTATTAATTATTTTCACTAAATATAAAAAATTTATAATTATCAATATATATTTTATTTTTAAGGATTTATACATTTTAATTCCTTTTTTTTAAAATATTCTATTATTTTAATGAATAATTTAATTTATTTTAAAATTATAGTATCAATTTATCGTATTGCAGATGTGTTGCGGTACATTGCAGATGTGTTGCGGACGCAACACCGTTACGTTGCGAAAAAATGTGTGATTTCCAGTATCATCGCAATTGTGGTCCGATGTCGTTGCGGACAAGGCCACAACAGCAATATTGCGGCCGCAACACATGTTGTAGTCCGCAATTTAAAACCATGCTCAGGACAGAGGTCCGTGTCTCTGATCAGACCTCTCGGCGGAGGTCCGCGTGCCTAATTGGATTTGCTCGGCCGAAGGTTTGCGCGCCTCGTCGGACCACTTGGCCGGAGGTACGCTCGACTGACAGAGGGAGAAGCAAAAGTTTTTTTTTCCTAAATCTGTTATTTCCAGAAGAACCAATCAAAACTCTTCATTTTTACATCTCATAGTATTAAGCAACATTCCTTCTTCAAGCAACTCTACTAAAAAATTTGGATCTTCTCTTGCCACTTAAGATCACCCCATTAAGAATTTCTTTTAAACACCAATTCTTATTTTTAAGCTACACTATAAGCACCCGGGCTAGAGGTGCTCAAAGAACTCTTTTCTCCTTATTTTTGGTTAACAAGCTCATCTTCTTCACTCACACAACATACAAAGAAACAGAAACTTTTCTTCTTGAGTTTCCTTTCGTAACTCTCACTCTCAAACATCAACTTCACAGTAACCAAATCCATTCAAAATTCCCCTCTTTCCTCCACCCCATCATGCCCTTAACCACCTTCGTTTCCCACTTCGTCTTCTTCACACCCATCACGTGAAAAACCCACATCACAGTGCCCTTACTTTGCTAAAGTCGTGCCATGATCTTCCAACGCTGAAGAAAGCTCACGCCTTTCTCATTCTCTCCAATTCATTCAGTGCCAATGCTTCAAAGATCCCCACTTTGTATGCTCAGTTCAAAGCCACCTCAGAGGATGGTGCACCCCACAACACAGTGATGTGGAACTTGATCATGAGGACCCACGTTGATTTGGGACTGTTCCATTCTGCTTTGTCAGTGTACAAAAGGATGAGACAAAAGGGTGTTCCCCATGATGGTTTTACTTTCCCAGTAGTGAACCGGGCCTTGTCGTGCATGAGGGTTGGTGTGATGTGTGGGAAAATGATCCACTGTGTGGCAACACAAATGGGTTTGGATGGGGATTTGTATTTTTGTAATACCATGATTGATTTTTATGTGAAATGTGGGTGCGTTGGGAATGCTCGCCGCGTGTTTGATGAAATGCTGCAGAGAGATGTGGTGTCGTGGACTTTGATGATTGGTGGATATGGTTCTGAGAGAGATGTTGGTGTGGTATGTGATTTGTTCAACAAGATGAGAATGGAATTGGAACCGAATGCCGTCACGCTTATTGTTATATTGCAGGCGTGTTGTGCTTCCATGACATTACATGAGGGAACTCAAATTCATGGGTATGTGCTGAAGAGTGGATTACTAATGGATTGGTCAGTGAAAAATTCAGTTTTGAGAAGTTATGCTAGTAAAGGGAGTGCTGAGGAAGTGGAACTTTTATTTAGTGAATTAAACATGAAGGATGTGGTTTCTTGGAATATTTTGATTTCCTTTTACTCCTCGGAAGGAGATGCAAGAAAGGTGGCGGGTTTGCTCAAAGAAATGCAGGGCTTTAAAGTGCATTTGTGGAACATTGAAACTTTAACGTTAGTTATATCAGCATTTGCGAAGTCTGGTAGTCTTTGTGAGGGTGAAGGTGTGCACGGATTAGTCATAAAAACGGGGTTTTGTGATGATGTTTTGCTAACATCTCTGCTTGACTTTTATGCCAAGTGTGGGAAATTGGAAACATCAGTTCAACTGTTTAGTGAAATTCATTTTAAAAGTAACATCACTTGGGGTGCTATGATGTCAGGTTTCATTCAAAATGGCTCTTTCATGGAGGCAGTAGTTTTATTCCAACAAATGTTAGCTGCAGATCTTAATGTTGCCCCTGAAATTTGGAGAAATCTTCTTGATGCATATGCAAACCTGGGAGCTTTGAAATTGGGCAAAGTGGTCCATGGTTACCTTATAAAGAACTTGATTAATGGACCTATAGAAGATACAGTACACCTTGAGACCTCTATCTTAAACATGTACTTAAGAGGTGGTAACATGTCTTCTGCTAAATCATGCTTTGATAGGATGCCTGTCAAAGATGTTGTAGCATGGACAACAATGATTGAGGGACTTGGCTCTCATGGTTTTGGTTTTGATGCCTTAAAGTATTTTCAGTTAATGATTGAGCAAAGAGTGAACCCAAACTCAGTCACTTTCTTGAGCTTACTTTCTGCTTGTAGCCACTCTGGTCTTGTCAGGGAAGGCTGTAATATTTACCATTCTATGAAATGGGATTTTGGAATTGAACCTGCTTTGGATCACCACACTTGCATTGTGGATCTTTTCGGTCGGTGCGGGATGCTTAAAGAGGCTTTAGCCACAATATTGAAAATGATCACTCTACCTGATAGCAGGATTTGGAGTGCTCTTCTAGCAGCTTCTAGAGTTTATGGAAACAAATTTTTTGGAGAATATGCAGCACAAAGGCTTTTGGAACTAGAACCTGATAATGTTGGATACTATACTCTATTGAGTAATGTAAAAGCATGTGTTGGAAAATGGAATGAGGTTGAAGAATTAAGAAGAGTTATGAGTGAAAGGGATCTAAAGAAGAAACCAGGATGGAGCTGCATTGAGGTAAATGGGGTCATCCATGGATTTGTTTCCAGTGATAAATCACACCCTGAAACAGAGGAGATTTCTAAGGCGTTGAGTAGATTGGCACAATTTTGAGTGAGATGTTTAAAACAATATAAAAAGGGCATTTAAATAAATTTATTGGTTCATAACAGCTACAGCGTCAGGTGAAAATCCTAGTTTTTTTCAGAGAAGAAAATTAACTAATTCATGATTGTTTCTCTGCCTCTAATGGCTGAGCACTTGGGAAAAGGACAAGGAAACATTACATAATAAAGGGAAGGGAAATGGACGTGCAACAAACTAACTGGCATTGCAAACAAAAAATTATCATTCATTCCTACAACAGATTCAGAAGAATTATTTTGTAGTTCAGCATCGAATAGTTTACTAGAAAGATACTCTACTTAAAGATCAATTCTCACCTATTTTAAACAAGGATGGTAATGTGAGATGAATTCGGTCGGTCAACTTGTCAATCCATTTATATTTGATAGTTTAAATTGGACAAATAACTAGAGGTGAGCAAAAAATTCAAATTGATCTATATTAAAAATTTGATCCATTTAAAGAAATAATTCAAATTAATCCACTTTGTAAAATCGATTTGATTACTTGATCCACTTTTACTAAGTAGATATGTTAGATTTGGTTCGATATTTTTTTTTCTAAAAAGTGAACTATATATGAGTGCAAAGTAGATAACCGCACAAACTCAAACTAATCTAATTTTAAAAAATATGATCCATATTTTTTAAAAATCAGATTGATTAACTTTATAAAATAAATTAGTTTGGTTTGAATTTTTAAAAAACTCAATCTATGAACACCCTTACAAATAAACTCACCAACCCAGCAGGCTCAACATGCCAATTCAGTGGGTCAACCCATCGACCTACTTTTTTTGTTTTATATTTTAAAAAAATAAATTTGTAGTGTATTTATGTTGAATTAATGTTTTTATTTTATATTATAGCTTTTCTTTCTAGGTAATTATTCTCACTTTATATAAAATAGAAATAGGTATTTTTAATCATGTATCTTTTATTAGTACATTTTCATGTAGTGTATTTTTTTTAATAAAAATATATAATACTTTGACCCACCACATGAAAAAGTATAAGATCTCTAATCAATTTTACAAATAATAATAAAATTATAAGTTGAAATGATAATATATATTAAAATATTTAAATTGATTTTTTAAAAAAATTTGGATGAATTGAAGATGAGTTAATTTGTCAACTCACCATTTTTAATTTATAAACTCACTAAAATAAGTCAATCTTTCAACCTTTTACTAAGTGAGATGAGTTATATTTTCCAAAATATTTTATTTAATGAACCAACTCATCTCACCCCATTTCTTTAGTGGATTAATCCATTACGTTTCACTTTAAATGGGTTTGTACCTGTCTGAAGGGCACACTAGTAATCTTCTCGTATTCTGTGAGCCGAACGAGAGTTCCGATCGAATATTCCGGTGAGGGGGGAGGTACCTGCAAAAGGCACTCCGACGCTCAAGTCAGGACAAAGCACAAGTATCGATAGTAATTAATGAACAGTGACGTTACCTCGTGACATGAGCTATTTATACTGACATTTATGGGCCCGGATTCCCATGGGCCCTGCAACAGGATTACCGGATTAGGTAATACGCCTCTAATCGGCTTATTGGTATGATTAACTCTTAATCCCTAATTAGGGGGAGTCCTTAACTCTTCATTAGTGGAGATCTGGATCTATGGATCATGTGGTGGCTAATCGGCCACCTGGTTCGGCCACTCGGGTGCCGATTGGGTGTCGGCTATCAGGTGGCCGAGTGACAGAGCCAGGTGGCCGAATAACCCTGCTAATACACTTGCCCCCTAGCCTTGTGAAAGGGAGACCTTTTGCAAGGGTACAGATGTGAGGTTAAGTGATGGGGCAGTCGAAAGATTGGGATGATCTCTAGCGTTGGATCTTGAAGATTAGGCAGTTATACTTTTCGAATTTTTGAAATTTTCCCGCCTTGTTTCTTTGCTATATATAGCGATGAGTGGTGGGGCCTTTTACACATATCGCTCTCAGCCGAATCGTGTTGCTCGAGCAAGTTTGAAGATTGAACTGCGCGCCGAGTGACCATTGTGAATTCGCATTCTTGGTAAGTCTGCTTCTGTGGCTACTTCATCTGAAAGCTCTTCGGCTAGTGAGGTTCGGTCATCATCATCCGAGGGGTCATCATCCAGTGATTCGGGGCATTCGCCGAATGAAGATGGACGATCTACTGAGATTATGAGCGCATCCGAAGGGGCCTCGACCAGTGGAAGCGAGGGGGAGCCGATTACGACTAGGCGTGTCTCAAATCGACAAAAATATGGGCCTTCCGAAGTGCCGGGGTATGAATGGGTGAATGGAGAGGTGACTTCATATTACTCGCGTTACCGAGATACCATAATGATTACCAACTTACTGGATTACACGAAATGTTTACATTTTGACGCGAAAGAGGAACCGTACCCAATCGGGGTTCGAGCGTGCCGAAACAACGCGTTCCCCGATCCTGACACGGTCTGCTTAGACAAGCAGGCCGAGAGGATAGCGTCTTTCTATATATATGACTGCCTTATGAGAGATTTGAAAGTGATGATGAGTTTACAATGGGAGTTCTTCGGGTTTTGAATGTGGCGCCGACCCAGCTTCATCCGAATAGCTGGGCCCAGCTTCAAGGGTTCAAACATCTATGCCGATGTGTAAATATTAGGCCTTCTCCCTTGCTTTTTCTTTACTTTTATTCGTGTCGGCCGTCTGACTTGGCGAAGTGGGTATCTCTTAACCGAGTGGGGACTCGGCAACTTTTGGATAGCTTTACTTCGTCCTATAAGAACTTCAAGGCTGGGTTCTTTCGAGTGACCATCCGCCCGAATGGACGTCGTTTCTTCTTTGGTGTTGACGACAGGAGTTTGTTTCCGTTGTACTGGACGCGTGCCCCTCGGCCATATGATGAAGTGCTGGACGAGCTTCTCACAGCCGAAGAGCGACAAAACGTCCAATTTTTGCTTCAACTTCCTCGGCGTTTGCCGACGAGGTCGCTAATTAACTTGGTCGAGTCATCCCGATGGGATTATGATTTGATAGGTGAGTGACTTTCTAGTTTCAGCCTTAAGCTAAATTCATATTGATGTTCACTTGGTTATTCGTGCAGGAATCATGGTGAAGAGTGGTGCGAACAAGTTCAACATTCGTGACCCCCTTGCCAGTCGGGTGCAACAGGTGAAAGCTTCCGGAGTTATGGGTAGTTCATCGGTTGCTCCATCGCCTCGGCCAGAACAAGACAATTGGACTCCTCCTTCGCCGACCCGCAAGCATAAAAAAGGGAAGAAAGGGAAGGAAGTGGCCGAAGAGAGGCATAAGAGAAAAGCTGCCAAGGAGAGGCCTGAGAAAACCAAAAGGTCGAAACAAACCGTGTCTTCACCAGGTGGAACGGTAATTTGCGTCCCCCCGGGGTTGATGTCTAGGGCCTTTTGGGGTGAAGGTGTGTCTGCCGATTCACTTGTTCGGCCGGAGGGCTTCTCGGAGCAGGGCTGAGAGTCACTGAGTCAGTTAGATGCAGTATCAAAGTGGAAATACTACTGTGAACTACAGTCTCGGTCCTTAGCCTTGGTGAACCAACTTGCTATGGGGCCGATCGGTGAATTGACGCAGATGAGGCAAAGATTGGAGGAGGCCGATAAAGTCGTGGCCGATGCTCGTGCAGCGACCGAGGGGGCCCTAGCTACGAATCGCCAGCTTGCAGCGGAGTTGGACGTGCAAAGGCGTAATAACGACACTCTTCGGCTGGACCTTCAAAAGGCAGAAAACGAGGGGAAGCGCCGAGCTGAAGAGGCCCGGGCCGAGATAGAGAGGGTTAAGGAGGACGCGAAGGATCACATCGTGGCCCAGCATGAGGCCAGTTTTCGTGATGCTCTTCGGCAAGCACGATACTTCGGCCATTTCCGCGAGGACTTTGAGTTTGATATGAGCAAAGACTTCTATCAGGGGTCGTTCATGTCGTTCGGGGAGATGCCCGCCGGGGCTGTGCCTGATAATGAGGAGCCGAATGACACCCCCGAGGAAGAAACGCGAGGTGCTTCGGACGACGAGGCTGAGGATGAGCAACCTGAGCCGGAAGGTGAGCAAGACGACGAGCCGGGAACTCAAGATGATGCCCCCGTGAATCCTGAAGATTAAGTGTTTCAATAGGCCGATAGAGCCTCTTCCTTTTTTTTTGTATGAAAAAGGTCATTAGAACCTTCTGAATAAAAGTAGTATTTTTTCTTTTATTCCGAACTAGTGCTTTATATTTTTGACTTGTGAAATCCGGGGAGTTTTGCACAACACCGCATATTGCATAAGTTAATAACTGAAGGACCGAGTAAGATTAATTTGACCTTAACCAAGTAACCTCATCCGGTGCTGTTTTCACCTTGGGAGAAAACCGAATGGAGTCGTTCGGGATAGAATACTTTTGAGTCAAAACCGACTTGAGTCATTCGGGATTGATGTTTCTCGGGTCAAAACCGAATGGAGTCATTCGGAATTGATGCCTTTTAGGTCAAAACCGAATGGAGTCATTCGGAATTGATGCCTTTTCGAGTCAAAACCGAATGAAGTCATTCGGCATTAATGCTTTTCGAGTCAAAACCGAATGGAGTCATTCGGAATTGATGCTTTTCGAGTCAAAACCGAATGGAGTCATACGGAATTGATGCTTTTCGAGTCAAAACTGAATGGAGTCATTCGGAATTGATGCTTTTCGAGTCAAAACCGAATGGAGTCGTACGAAATTGATGCTTTTCGAGTTAAAACCGAATGGAGTCATTCGGAATTGATTCTGAGAAGGTACATCCTTGGCCGAGTTGGTTACTCGGGAGGGAAACCTTGAGTTTTGATTTGAAGGTACATCCTTGGCCGAGTTGGTTACTCGGGAGGGAAACCTTGAGATTTGAAGGTACGTCCTTGGCCGAGTTGGTTACTCGGGAGGGAAACCATTTTGGAGTACAGCTTAAGTAAGAAACGATAAGACTGAGCTGAAATGCATTTCATTGATATGTGCCTCGTTAAAAACCTTGTCGGCC